GCACAATAGCATAGGTGAGGTATGGATAAATAAGTGAGTGGTATAGTGTGAGAAGGGCATTTTGCGGCACTTAGTATCGTATCTTGGAGAGGATCCCAACTGTTTTGGATACTTTTTTGGTTATGTGTTGGATATGGGTGCTGAAATTCAGGTTGTTGTCAAGGTATAGGCCTAGGAATTTGCCCTCATTATGTCTGGTAATTAGAGTGTTGTCGATCTTAATGTTATTTGTGCATCTCCTGCTCTGCTACCAAACATAATATAGTAGGTTTTGTCAGTGTTAAGCGTAAGTTTATTGGCTGTCATCCAAGTCGATATTTTGATCAGCTCCTCGTTAACAATGGTGTTGAGGGTGGCAAGATTAGGGTGAGAGATGACGTAAGTCGTGTCGTCAGCAAAGAGAATGGGTTTCAGGTGTTGGGATACGTTTGGAAGATCATTGATGTATATGAGGAAGAGCAGGGGACCAAGGACACTTCCCTGCGGAACTCCAGTATCAAGTGGCCGTGTTGTTGATGCTGTGTCTTTAATGGTAACATACTGATACCTATTAGTAAGGTAAGATTTGAAATAAGCAAGCGCACGGCCTCTTATACCGTAATGGTCAAGTTTGTGGAGTAGGATGTCGTGGTCTACTGCGTCAAAAGCTTTTCTTAGGTCAATAAAAATTCCTAGTGGATATTCCTTATTTTCTAATGCTGTGTAAAGCAGATCTAGCATTTTTATGATTGCATCATTAGTGCTTTTATTTTTCCTAAATCCAAATTGGCAGGGGTTGAGTATGTTTTGTGCTGTTATAAATGAATATAGTCTCCTGTGCACGAGTTTCTCAAAGATTTTGGATAGCAATGGTAAGTTTGATATTGGCCTATAGTTGTTTAAGTCTGTAGGGTCACCACCTTTATGTATTGGTGTAACCCTTGCCATCTTGAGTAGTTTCGGGAATGGTTTCAAGTTGGAAAAATTCAGATTCAGGAAGGATATAGGAAAGCACTGGTTTGGTAATAGAGTTGTGGATGAGTGGAACAAACTTCCCAGTTCAGTTATAGAGGCTAAAACGTTGTGTAGTTTTAAAAATAGATTAGATAAATACACGAGTGGGTGTGGGTGGGTGTGAGTTGGACCTGACTAGCTTGTGCTACTAGGTCAGTTGTGGTGCTTCTTCCTTAAGTGAATGTGACCTGACCTAACTAGGTTAGGGCACTGGCTTAAGCCGGTAGGAGACTTGGACCTGCCTCGCATGTGCCAGTAGGCCTGTTGCAGTGTTTCTTGTTTCTTATGTTCTTGTGATCTTTTCATCTGCTCGTATTCTCATCAGTTTCACATTTGTGAACAGGGGTTCTTCTGACTAGTCCTTCCATCCTGTCATTCACATTTACAAGAAATAGTACCAGCAAAAAGAGATTATGAGGTTAGTTGCATGGGATTCAAAGATTAACCCAAAAGATTTCTTTCAGATATCAAGGAGTAAGATTAGGGACAAGATATGCCCACTCAAAAGCTACTCGGGTCAATTCATCGAGTGTGACAAAGAAATGTATAGAGGCTTTAACACTTATTTCCTTTAGATTTTATGCAGGAATATAACTGAGAAATTCCAGAAATAATTTATGTAGAACATGGCGAAAATAAGTTATGCACGATCAGAGTCACTAGCCCCTTGACTGTCGCAACCCCCAATCCTGAGGTGTCTCCTGGTGTCGCAAATTTAAAAAAAAATTATTTTTTCTTATGAAATGATAGAGAATCTTTTCCCGATTGTAATGACACAAAAAAAACGAAATTTGATGGAAAACTGACAGAATTACGCTCTCGCGAAGTTAGCGACCTCGGCAGTATTTACAAATCGGCGATTTCGCCCACTTTGAACCCTACTTTCGGCTAATTCCATTGTTCCAGTCGACCAAACTCATAGCTTTTCTTTAGAACTCTTTTTTTTCTATCGATTGAGTACAAGAAACTGCCCATTTACCAATTTCAACTACCCAATAACGTGGTCAGAAATTTTCAATTTGGCCAATTTCACGAAAATTAAAAAAATATGACAATTTCAAAATAAGGTCCAGAATGAACAATGCAGACATTCCTGGCTCTAAAATAACATTTTCTTTGCTCATCAGTCATGTCTCCAGGCCCCTCTGATATTACTCTTGCTTTCTATTTTGAATTTTTATTCAAAAACTAGAAGATTTACTATTATGCAGACTACTGCAATACTGTAATAATTGTATAAATAACATCAACCCATTCATGACTGCATATTAGAATGGCTAGTTGGACATTTATTGGACAATGACATCATTTGTTTACTTTTGAACATCGGCAAAAATCAAACATTTTCCCTACTTGGAGCTCCATTTCCAGGTTTTTTTTAGAGCAAAATCACCTCTATTTCTATAATATGATTTCCATTCTATCAAATGAGACCAAGAAAACGAGAATACAACCATAAATACTATATGAAAATAGACCACAAAGTCGGCATTTTAATTAAAAAAAACGGTCGGAGTTTTGTTTTTCTCATTATGCACTGCGCGCTCCAGGATTTTTTTTTATATGGTGCACACTGACCACACAGAACTTATGAGTATATATACGTCAAACACGGTACCTCATAACTTATATATACGGCCGCGACAGTCAAAGGGCTAGTGACTGTGATCGATGAAGGTTGCAGTTAAGTTTCGATATGTTAGGAGCATAGTCATTGCTCCTGCTAAAACCGGAAGAGATAAGTAGGAGGCCGGCAGTAACAACTACTGATCATACAAATAAAGGTATTCGGTCTATTAATTGCAGTGATTATAAAGTTTACATCACCTAAAATGGAAGAGACCCCGGCCAAGTGAAGAGAGAAAATTCCTAGGTCCACCGTAGCTCCTGCTTGGGTGATAATTTCGGCTACAGGAGGGTATACAGTTCATAGTCTTCCTAAACCTCTATCAACTATTCCTCTAGTTAGAGGGAGGGTTAAGGAGAAGGGTAGAAATCATATTCTTATATTGTTTATGCGAGGAAAGGCTATATCAGAAGCTCAAAGTATAAGAGGAACGAGTTTCCAAATCCTCCAATTATAATATGTATAACTATAAAACAAATCATTACAAAAGCATGGGTAGTAACAATTGCATTATAAATTTGATCATTCT